TCCCGTTTTTCTTCTAAAATTCTATTAACTATTTCTTTAGTTATAGATTCGTCATAATTATCTTGCGTTACAATTTTATTTCTTTTCTCTGGAACTGTGTTATTTTCATTTACATCTAATTCTAATTCATTCGCTAAAATTACCAGTTCCGATTTAACTAATTTCCATAAATATGCAATTTTTCACAACATTAATTATCAATAACTTAAAATAAGATGCTTATTTTTGCAATAAGAGAAATGAAATTCAAAATCAATTGAAAATAAAAATCAAAGTATTACATTTTTTAAATACCAATACACTCTATATACTTTTTAAAATTGCTACACACTCCATAATAAAATATAATTTCTATTTATAACTATCTTCAGTATTGTAATAAAACTATTATTTTTAGTTCAACAAAATTATTTTCAAAACTTACCGATCTTCATCTGTTCAACAACGCGAGTGCACAGTATAAAAAAAAAAGCACAATAGTCAGTCCCTTTCCTCCTTCACTCTTCAACATTTTTCTCCTGCGAGAGTCAGTCTTTTTCCTAGGGCGCATTAAGAACAGGGGCGGCGAAGATCACTTAGCGAGCATACAGGGAGGAAGTAAGGTCACCCCTCCTTCGGCGAAGTTCACCCTCAGATCTCTATAGGGGCGGCGAATTTCATCATCGGATCTCCATCGGGCTTCAGGGGGGCAAAAGGAACCTCCGACTTTCGTCCCAAGCAGAGAAGGGGCCGATAACGGGAGTTCATCAAACTTTTAATGTTGCATCTCTTAATTCCAGTTCATTCATTCAAAGCATAAATTCTTTGCAATAATCTTTAAATTCGCTTGCCATTCCATTGGGTTCCGGGCTGAGAGAATCCTGTCGGCTTTGATGTAGTGCTCGTAGTATTTTAGATACTACATATATATATATCTATATATATATATATATATACACAGAGAGAGAGAGAGAGAAAGCATGGAAAAAATTACGGAACAATAAAAAAAAGAAAAAGAAAAAATGTTAATAAAAGTCTGGATAAAAAGAGATCCTCTATTCATCTGCTCACACGATTATGTCCACAAAAAGGAGTGATTTCTATTATTGTTTCAATATAGCTAAAGCAGAATGTATCAATACAATAGTGTGAGGAGCAATCAAAAAAGAAAAAAAATGTTTTTGAAATAAAATAGAACAGAACACATTAAGTCAAAACATCACTTAAAAAATTTTTCAAGAATGATTTAAAATACTTTCGTAACAAGATTGCCAGATTACAAAATATGAAAACAGAATGGCAAATTGAGGTAAAAGCGTAAATAGAGGCTTTTTTATTTAATTGAGTTCGTACTGCAGTACTGAAGCATGTTTTATTTGTTAGTTACCAAGGATGGACCCGAAAATGAATATGCGCAAGGTAATATTATACTCGATAATTTAAAAAAAGTGTGAAATTAGTAATTTTAGAAAATTAACTTTTATTTAAGAAAAAAAAGAAGAAAAAAAAGAGATAATTAATAATTTTTACTAAAATTATGTGCAAAAGCAGGCAACTCATGTTTCTTTCTCTCTCTCTCTATCTCTCGCTCTCTCTTTTTCCACTTCTTTTTTTTCTTAAATAAAATAAATTTTCTAAAATTATTAACTGTAAACTTCTTTAAATTGTCTAACATAATATTACCTTGCGCACATCCATTTTCGGCCCCATCATTGGTGACTAACAAATCAAACGTGCTTCAGTACTGCAGTAAGAGCGCACTTTAAAACAAAACTCCTCTATTTTCGCTTTTACCTCAATTTGTGCTTTATTTTGTTATCTGGTAATCTTGTAATGAAAATATTTTAAATAATTCTTGAAAAATATCACGCTCATGTAACTTCATTTGAATTCGCTACTCGCTCTATGGATTTCGCTTTATGTTTTGTTCTGTTTTTTCTTTAAATTTTATTTTCTGTTTTTGCGTGATATTTTTACTTAATGTGTTCTATTCTATTTTGTTTCAAAAATATCTTTTTTGAGTGCTTCTCACACTATTGTATTCATATATACTTTGCTTTGGCTATATTGATACAACATTGGAAAGCACTTCTTTTTGAGGATTTAATCGTGTGAGCTGATGAAAAGATGATATTTTTCTTCAGATTTTATAATTTTTCAGTAATTTTTTACATGTTTCCTCTACATTTCGAACTTACTTGCAGCTTATGCACAGTAAATAAAACTTATTGTTTCTCTTAATTTTCTCCGTTTTTTTTCTCTTTTGTATTTATTTATTGTGCTATATAATATATATATATAAAACCGCTGGATTGGAATGTTGCGTCTAGACGGAAAGACTGATTAAGTTAATTTCAACATATACATCTTGCTCGTCCTTGCATCGTTTCAGAAATATTATAAATATTTTTGAGTTTTTTAGGCTATAAATTTTTGACTTTTAATGCATGTATTACACGAAATTTTTCTCATCCTGTTTTACTATTCAAAATATACGACAAATATTTAAAAATCCAATGTGATAAATAAATAGAAAAATGTAAACTTGAAACAAGCATTTGCTTGCAATTCTAAAAATGACTCTAAATAATGGTTGATATCAAAATAATGAAGCAAAGTAGTTCTATACAATGATTTATAATTAATTGTTAGTTAAAAATTGATCTAAATAATATTTAGTTTTTGAAATTATTATTATTATTATTATTAATTTTATTATTTTATTAAAAATTTTGAAATTAGTACTTTCAAATTCTAATTTTTTTTACTTAAATAAAAAAAAATCTATTGATTATTTTTCTTTGCAATTATAAATCAGAATTGTATTTCTTTGAAATAAAAATAACAAATTTAATCAAATCACTGAAAATATGTGTACCTATATATTTGTAAAGTGTGAGCACATTAGGTTTCAAATTTTCTGAATTTACATATGGAGATAAATAAATACCAAGTTATATCTTTTCTCGTTTTCTGGATCAGACAAAAATAGGGCTCACCGTTAAATAATTAATGGTGTTACATTTTTTTAAGTACTAAAAGAATTCATCTAATTGTTAGAAAATATTTAAGTCAACTCAAATTCGCTGAAGTCAACTTAAAATCAGCTTAAAATTGATTTAAAATCAATATTTTACCGAAAAATTATGATTTAAGTAATGAAAGTATATTTTAAATAACGTTTATTAATAATAATTAAATTAGTTTTAAGACTCATTAGGTAAATTAACTTACCCCCAGCTAAATAATATGTGAATACATTGATAAAATATTTGCTATTTGAGCAGAAGAAGATCAAGAAATATAAAATTTATAATAATGGTAATTTATACTTACGATCTGGTGCAGCATTAACTATAAAAACCAATTAAATTAGATTCACTAATCAAGGAATAAAATAAATATAATAATAAATTTAAGAAGTAAGTTTATAAATGTATAAAAAAAGTTAATGTGAGCTTTTATTTAACAATCATAAGTTTTGGGAGTCATATGATTAATTTTATTAAACGCTTTTTCAAATAGAACTTTTACTATACTTTATACTTACTATAAAATAAATTATGCTTTTTAAAATTTAAATTAATAATTTAGCATCCAATCAAGCATTAAACAATGATAGTTACGCATTTAATGAATTAAAATAAATTTTTTTTCTAGGATTTTCTATTGAATCAGTCTAATGAATTACAAGCTTAAATAGGCTTAAGTTATATACAATTCAGAAGAAATGTGATAAATTCTTGATGTTATAATTTTGATTTTTATGCTTCAAGGAAGACTACTCAAGTTGCCATGAAAGTCAGTGCAAGCAATAATGCAGCATATTGGAGAGTTGGATTAAACCAGGTCTTAAAGGTTTTCATTAGAAGCTCAACTAATAAAGTTGCTCAAATGTTTATTTGAATGATTAAAAAAAGTTCTTTAGCTCCACAAAATTATTTAATGCAAACAAACTCATTATCTAAGAGAGAAATTTAATTAATTTTTGAAACTATGCTGAAAACAGATTTTATCTAATCTAATCGAAATGAATGGATAATTCTTTTATTCCCACTGAAATATTCCTTTATAGGAACTAATATGCATTAATACCCAACTAATATATGCTAATATGTATTATTCTACCATTTTAATATATATTAATATATATTATACATTAAGAAACATACATAGGTTTTAAAAATCATAGGATGAAAGAAATGGATTTGGAATTCATCATATAATAATTTAGGTGTTCAGATTAAAGATAATAGATTGCGAATTAAAATTTTTTAAGTTCCCCTACTTAAAGTACTCAGTGTTTACAGTTAAGTTCATTTATCTTACCCTCTAAGAATTTCGAATTCGAGTAGTGTGAGCTGTACCTATCTTGTCATCTACAATTGAAAAGCTCTCGGTTTTATACAACAGTGTCATTAAATTCATAAAAAATCTCAGCATTTTATAATCATGATGTAAAATCTGATTTAAAATGAAACAATAACTAAAAAAAAATTATTCAAATGTTAACATCACTTTAAATAAATTTGCAATTAATTAACTGAAGACCTAAATTGGCGGAATGAAAATAATGAAGATTTTCTTATCGATTTTTAAAAACATTGGAGCCGACAAAAAATACCTTACTCTGTTTTTCATTAATATCTAAGTTTTAAATGACTATAGATATTAATTCTCGATAATATGCCGATAAATTCTGATTTTGATGATACAAAACTCATTGAAGCATGTAACATCATCCAACGGAGAGTTTCTACTAAAATTGTACAATTCTAGCTAATTTTAAAGCAGCAATAGTTTTAATTTGACGATAAATTCCTAGGAACGATAATATCGCGATTAATTTTGAATGTATAAGTGACAAATGACGGCAACTTACAAAGTTCTCTAGAGCAAAGCTCTGGTAGTTGTATTTTAGTTACTCTAGCTAGACTTAAAATGTTCAAAATTTGAATTCATGAATTTAACTTTAAAAAAAATATCCGCAATCTAAATCAATCATGAAAAATTTAATCCAAATTTCGGTAATTTTAAATAATAAATATTTGTACTAAATATTTGTACAAATATTTTAAATAATAATAATAATAATAAATAGCATATTGCAAAATAAAAATCTATCATAACTGAAAAAATCTACCATATCTGATTATCTTTTCAAGAAAAAAGACTTAGTTTCATTTTAAAAAATATTTTACTTCCATATGCGCAAAGTTCTCAGTGAAAAACTTCTTAAAATGCTGCAAGGAATTCAAATTTGATTGAAATTGTTTGAATAGTCTTTGAAAATTCGAATTTTAAATATACGACTTTTTTAAAATTTAATTTCTCAAGAACTATATATTTAATCGATTTCCTTCAAACTTTGTATTTTTTCATGTAAAGTGCATTCCTTCAAACGTTATAAAAATTATGTATCTTACAACTTAAATTTTTTTTGACTAATATTAAATAAAATAATGAAAGAGAATAAATAATTAATAAGCATTATTTTTTGCCGGGATATACCTTTGGATAGAGGAATTTTATAATTGTGTGTATTTTTTTTTACATTGTGTAAAAAATTCTCGAGATATAGCAAATAAACATTAAGAGGTGCACATTTTAGACTCTCCTGACCAAACTATGGGGACCATATTTGCCATATTCCCTGGTTTAGGAGTCAGAAATCCGAGTCCGTTGAAATAAAGTAATATTTATTCAGACAAAGTACGATTTTATACCTGATTTCTTAACTTAAAATATCATCTGCATTAATTAATAGGCATGTTTAAGGTCATCTCTTTAAACCATTAAGATTGAGTCCTATCACGTGATGATATCACGTAATCCTATCACTATATCAAGTAGATGTTCTACCCATCATAATTCCTGGGTATTACTTTTGTTTTTATTTTATACTTGTTCCAAATGTGTCCATTTTTTAAGAATTTCAATTCACTTCAAAATCATAAAAAATAATGTTTTTATAAGTTCATAAAAAATAATCTAATTAGCAGTTCAAATCCAAATAATATTACTTTACTCACATTTAAAATTTAAGTTATGAAGTAATTCGAGCAATTTTGGTTTCTTTTTCATAATTATTTGATATTTTAGAAATTTTAGAAAGGGGATATAATTTGTAAATTTTTCACGTGTAATATAATTTAACGAAAATCTAATTTTCACATAGTAAGGCTACAATACTAAGAAGCTTTAAAACAATAATGTAACCCTCTGTTCATCAAAATGAATTTTTTTTTCAAAATTGTGAAGTCAAAATATAAGATTGATATATTTTAATATTGACATCTTGAATTGATATATTTTATTTATATATAGTACTGATATATTGTATTGATATACTTGTTGTATTGATACATTTTGATTTGACTTTATTAATACATTATTAGAAAGAACCTTTTTTTGCAGATATATTCGCGAGAGCTGCCTGCGAGATTATATTGTTTTACTCATTTTGAATTTTAGTTGTTTAATATTTTTTTTAACTTTTAAAATTTGATTCAATATTTAAAAACAAAATATTCATTAATTATTTTTCTCTTTCTCTTTAAAAATATTTCTTTCTTAGTTTTCTTCATGTGAAAGTATATATATATACATACACCGAAGAGACATTTCAGTATGACCACCCTGCTAATAACATTTAGGACCACCTTTTGCCCTCAAAACTGCTAGCACCCGCCGTGGCATTGATTCCACAAGGTGCTGATAGGTAGTCTGAGGTATCTGGTACCAAGCGCTCACCAACTGATCCTGCAATTCCCTCACATTCCGATGGGGTAGCGTGGCAGCACAAATTTGGTTTTCTAAGTAAGTTCACAAATGCTCTATTGGATTAAGGTCAGGTGAATTTGGGGGCCAAGACATGACTTGAAAGTCACTGGAATGTTCCTCGAACCAATCCATGACGATTCGACCCTTATGACATGGTGCATTATCCTGTTGGTAAACACCATCCCCCGTAGGAAAAACTGTTACCATGAATGGGTGAACCTGGTATGCAACTATGTTCAAGTAGCTTACAGACGTCAGGGATTGTTCTATGAGGATTATGGATCCTAATGTGCCCCTTGAAAACAATGTTCCTAAACGAGAAACCAAGGAAACATGGACGAGTCCATTGTTATAAATGGAGGGTGATCATAATGTAATGGCTCTTCGGTGTATATATATATATATATTATCCTTCTAATAAGGTAATGGTTTTCTGTAAGTTTTATAGTTTTAAATTTTTTTTGTATCATTTGACTATGACAGAGTTGGAATTTTGCTTCAAAGAAGTTTCCCAATATACTCTCAACATTGATACTGAATTGATTTTTGTCACTGATAATTTCTTATTTCTCATTATCACTCATTCTATTTCCATGATAAATTTGCTGTTATTGAGCAATTAAAAAATTTATACCCTTGCTTGTTTCATTTGCAAATTAACATCATGTCTAAAAGCTGCATAACCATGCAACAAACAATGTTCTTGTTAGAATTTTTTTTATTCCAGATTAGGAAGATGTAGATATTTGTCAGTTAGACCCTGATGAACCAGCAAGTTTAATTTTAGTGTAAAACATAGATAAAAATAACTCAGAATCTGTTCTTGAATTCTATGCATGTAGAATAATGTTTTCAAAACTTATATTTGTGCTAATGAAATTGAAAATCAAATCCCTGGGTCAAGCACAAAGAAGAAGAGAAAAAGTGAAAGTCCGAGTATAAAAGCAAATAAGAAAACTGAAATTTACATCGGCATTAAAGTTATCATCAATGATGTTATCTTTAAAATATTTAAAAAAAAACTGTCCATAGTTTAATTAAAACAATGGTTAATGATAACTCTGTTAGATAATTATGTGTTTCGAACTCGCACTCAAGAATTCTCCTTGCAGCTATCCAAGTTACAGATCGATAGTTCAATTTATGTTGGAGTCAACAAGTTGAAGACACTCAGCCGTATGCACATACAAACTCTCTATTTTATTTTTTTAATTGTAAATAGTTAATATTTACCTGCCATCACAACAGCAAGAACAATAAATAATGCAACGCACTTCATTCTTGTGCTTTTGTGGGCTTCCTTCCTCTGTGTGTTGATGTTTCGAGTGCAGATCTGGACGTCTCACTGCGATAGCTTTCTTTATATATTAGGCGAAAACTGAGCATTTAAAACGTCATACTAGTTATTAATACACTTCACTATTAACTACTTGTTTGTAAAATTCAGGAATATAGCCGATATTACAGAATTATTAGTTTTCTTTTACATCTTCTAGTTTGATCAGTTGTACATTTTTCTATCAAATTTTGATTTAATAGGATTGCAAACACTAACTTTTGATCCATAACGTTGTAACTTTAATTCAATACTAGATAGAAAGCAATTTAAATGTTTGCTGTTGGTTGAAACTGTATCATAGAACTATCATTAATGATATAATTTATAACGACAGAGCCATATAGTCACTTTACGACATTATGGAAAGAGATACAAAATATTAAATTGAACTTTTATTGTTTGAAACCTTTAAAATACTGTTTTTCAAAGAATAGCTAATTTCAGGCAAAGCTAATACAGTTTTAAGTTCGATGTCCATTAAAATGGAATGTTTTGCAACTTTGAGCATACTAGTTAGACGAATTAATATTTCCTAGTCGAAAATGGATCGACAAAATGTAAAGATAGGAAGAAAAACAAAACAAAAAGAACTAAACTTTGAATCAGTTACCTTCTCAGAAATTTGAAAGTAATCTATAAATACGAGTAATATATCTCCAGCTTTGGCAAAATTGTTACTTATGACTATTGAATATTTGTTATGTTACAGATTTTTGTTGTGACTGAACTTAAAATTTCCCGACAAATATTTTACGATTCTATCAATACAGTAATAGTTCAACCTTGTATTGCGGTTAGTATATGCAAGTTATTCGATAAAGAAAATTTTTCTTTAATTTCATTTAACCATTTTTCATAAGACATGCATATTAATCGTCTAAATGCAAAAATTCCGAAACAAAAATGGACTTTAAGTTTGAATTTAATGAGCAATTGAAGTTTAATATTTTTTTTTCAGTTTGTAATTTTTATTCTGCTTGTAATGTAATTTACCAAAAATCCGATTTTTATAATACGACAACGATACATACAAGATTTTAGATGAATTATACAATTCTCTGTTCGTCATCAAATTATAAATTTTCAGTTAAAATTCTAATGTTAAAATATCAGTTTCAAAACACATGTTCCAATTTTGAAATATTGGCGTTTCAAATGATCTATTTTAAAATTTCAAGTGATTCATTGAGTTATGTTGCATTGACTCCTTTTAATTGATACACTGTTAAAATTTCCATTCTAAAATTATGGTAAAATAACTGGCAGCTGTCTGTCCATCCTAATAACCCTAAAGTTTACGGTAAATAACATTTCTGTCCTTTATGGTTTTGAAATCATTAACATAAAGTATGGTTATAAAACCATGAATACAGAACTATACAGTTTTTTAACCATTTACAACTAGCATTTTTCAAAAAACTAAAAAAAAAATATTTTTCAACCGGACATTGAAGCTCGGCTTTTCGTAAGATAATGGGCATTGGAGAGTGCCGGACATTGGAAATTTTTCATATGTTGCCGGGAATGGAGAAAATATTGTGGTGTCAAGACTAGGACTCGAACGCCAGTTCTGTCGGGCATGAGATTGACAGATAAGCCTGCTTGGCCATGATATGTACGCAGTTGCATAGAACTAAGCAGCTTCATTTGGTGGTTCTAGTTGGTGCGATAAAATTCTGGTTGTTTAACCGTATTAGGTGAAAGCAGTTAATAAACAGTTTTTCTCAAACTTAATCGCTTAATTACCATTTTATTTATGGTTATTTGACTGTTTTGATTAAATATGGTAAAATAACCATTCAATAAATTGTTATTTAACCATTTTCCAGAGAAATTTCTAACAGTGTACTATAAGTCTAAGATAAATAATGATGATTGAATTCAAAGATAAATAATTATGCTTGGATGGAAAAGGGGGTCTGTAGTGTTTAGATACAACATCTTTGGACATAAATTTGCAGTTGGCTGATAACAGGATGTTCATTTCAGAATACTTAGAAAGTAATACAACAATTGCTCGCTTTCATACTGAGTGTTTTTCTCTCTTGTTGGCATTTTAAATATCGAAAAAAAAATTTATGATAAGCTGATGACTTTTAGGGGCTGTTATATATTTTTGTGTGACAATGAAAGAGTGAGAACGCGACTTCCTAATGAAAGAGTAGAAATTTAACATCAAAAGGGTTTTAAATACGTTACCAACAATAGTATTGAATATAGTCTTGCTATTAATTGCTTTTCTTTCTGATTCTTGTGATTTATAATACTTTAAACAATATATTTGTAGTTAACGAGTGGGTGGCTATTTTTACAAGAAGTGTGACATTTTTTTGTTAATTTCCTCATTTACAAGTTTTGCTTGCTCTTAACACCATGTCAAAGAGAAAAGTTTCATAACAATACAATATACAATGGTCTTGCAGGTAACATTCTCTTATTCATGTTATAAAAAATGTAAATATTTGTCATTTAGAGACAGATAAACTGGAAACTAAAGATGAAACTAACTTGAAAATTGTTTTACAATCTGTCTGTTTAACATTGTTCTCAAAAGTAATAGTTGAGAAGATGAAGTATAAATTAAATCCTGCAATCAAGTGCAAATAAAAAAGGAAAAATTAAATGTCCAATTTCAAACTCGAATAAGAAAACAAAATTTGACAAGCCAGCAAAATTTAAAAAATCGGAGCAGGTTTGTAAAAATGCAAAATGCGCATGAATTGTTATCTTCGTAACTGATTTTTGAAATAACTGTTTTTCAAGAATATATAGTACATCTTGTTAATATATAATAATTTTACGCTTTAAAAATAGTTAACATTCTTAATGTTTTCCAAAATGATATTGGATACTTTTCTGTTCCGATCGAAGAAGGGAAACGCATATGGTGCAATCACAACATTCGTCAGTAAAATAATAAAACCATTACAGCTACGCACTAATTGCCAAATTAGTCAAATACAGGGGTTTGACAAAATAATGCAAGCACTCCTATACTAACTCATCATTTTTTCATATTTCTCAAGAAATGCAATTATTTTAAAAATTTAGAAGTGTTTAGTGATGCGATTTCTCATACATATCAAGGAAATTTAACGTTTTTAATTATTTAAGGGACCGGCATTAAATTTCGAACGAAAAAAAATGTTTTTAAATGCTCTATGCCAAATAATATTGCAATAAGATTGTATCTTATGTTAATCACGCTAGTTGTTCTGTGCAATAACTGCACAAAATTTTGTAAACTTAGCTTAAATATTCTTAAAGATATGGACAGTTTTACAAGAACAATATTTTTTTTACTTAGGTATTCTTACTATAGTTTTTGAAATATTCAATAAAAGTAATTAAAGTTTTAGAGTAATTTTTAATTAATAATAAATATATCGTTTAAAAAAAATCATTGCAAATTGCTCTTTGTATTTATAGTCATCTTTTTATACTGCCCTTGGCGAAAGATATTTAATTTTTTCTCTTCAATAATTGGTTTTGAATCGTAATTGGCATCTTCTAAGAGAAGTCTGATTTAAATTCTTGAAAATTTAAAAAGTTTCCAGCAATTATCTAAGCATTGTTTTTTGTTAATTTGGAGAGAAATCTTTGAGTGGTAAGGGGTTTTCCACAAATTTAGTTTTGCACAACAATATTTGTTAAAAATGACATCAGCATTATATATGATCACACTATATTAAATTATGCTTCATTTCAAATGTTTTATTTATGATTACCACCATGTCTTGCTGTAAGGACTATTATTTTAGAGTAGCATTCGTTATTAAATTTTGTATTACATTCCAAAATGGATTTGTGGAAATACCCTTATTATTTAGAGCTTTTACTAAAATTATTTATAAAAGCTACCTAGAAATTTGCTGGAATCTTTTTACATTTTCAAGACATTCAAATCGAACTTTTTTCTTAAGTTACCAATTACGATTCCAAACAAAATTATGAAATAAGTTTTGTAAGTAATTTCCGCGCATGCGCAAAAGGAAAGGATTACTTATATGTTGCGCAATTCTTGACGAGTCTTTTTTTCTAATTTTAAAATGATATTTTTTATTATTAATTAAAAATAACTCTAAAAACTGTTTTAGTTTTATTGACTATTTCAGCAGTTAGAGTAAGAAAAAGTAAATAAATAAATAGTTGTTTTATATAAAAATGTCCATCTTTTCATGAATATTTAAGCTAGGTTCACGAACCCTTCTGCTGTTATTGCAAATAATAACCAACGTAAATGAGGTAAGTTACAAACTTATCGATAGATTGTTGGCATAGTGTGTTCAAAAGCATTAACTTTCCTTCGCAATTCAATAATCATTCACAATTCTTTTAATTACAAATTTTTAATAAAAAATGTTTCTGTGGGGTGTTAGTCTTTATTATTTAGGAGATAATAGGTACTGGGGTAATAAGTTTTTTGCACACCCCTTTCTCCGGCATAAAAGGGACAAGTACTGGAGAAAATTGCATGATCCTGATAAATTTTGAATATTATGAATTGGCCCCGAGTAAGTGCACCATGACAGATGATTCGGAAAACAATTCATGTTCATTTTAAATATATTAAAATTTAAAAACTTGTTTTCTTTAATCTAGTAAAGTAATGCTCACAGATAGGACAGCAAATAATAATGAGTAAAAAATGGTAACTATTTAATATTTATTAATTAATGTGTCGATTTCAATTGTGTCGGTATATGTCTTTCAGTTTAATGCTTAATTTCATACTGTTCATCAATACTGATTTACTCATTATTTACCGAAAGGGTAAATAATGAGTAAATAGGTATTGTATGTATCGGTATCTATAAGTACAGGAGAAAGTTGTTTGTTATGGCAAGTGTAGACTATGAGGATTTGGCCTCAAATAATAGCATTATGCCAAATGATACCGAGTATAGTTAAAATTTATTTTGTTGGATGAACTTCAGAAAAGCTTCATCAAATAACGAAAAGTTACATCAGAAAGCCAGGCTCGAGCATACCCATCTGGTTACATGCTACTACATTTATCCAGTCTTTCAAAGCCCACCTCTGCACTGTCTCTAAAACATAGCTTCAAAAGTATTTAAGAGACACCAGACAGGAACCAAG